GAAACATTTCCTTCATGGCACATGTTATCAATGATTTAGTTCTAAAATGATAAAATATGACATTTCTGCTTTTATCAGAAAATAAAGCATATCCCTAATGTGACTAATATTTCATCTGGAATACTAAGGGGTACAATCAGAGGTAACTTATGATCATAATATTTCAATATCACACATTTAAAGGAGAAGTTTGCATAGCGCTTAGTTGTGAGGTCAAGGCTCTCAAACCAGTGATAGCTGTAATGAATCATTATTTTTAAAGAGGGCCCTCCAGTCACTACCGGACAACCAAGCAGTCATGACTCTCTGTAAGAACTTTAAGTGTATGTCTCTAGGTAGGACAAGAAATGAAAAAAAATTAGCCTCTAATTCATTCTAGGGACCTTGCTGAAAAGGATTGCTTTCACTTAGCTCTGATCTCTAGAGCCTGAGATGACAAAGTTCTTATCTGCTCTCTCTCACGTTCATCCGTAGTAGAGATGTGCCTGTACCTCATTGATACTGATGACAATGAATGTAGGTGGAACCCTTTTCTTAGAATTGTTTCTAATCAAGACTGTTTCCATGTGCAGGGGATATAGTTACATCATCTCTCAAATATTTCTGCTTTAAGCTTATGGATGGGGGTAGATTTTTAGATACAGAACATGTTCTACTTTTATAAGCCATTTGTTGCATGAATATATGAAGTACATCTGTCTTTTCTTGGTGCTGTGTACACTGAAGCTTCTCTCTTTGTCTTTAGATCTAATCCTACTCAGAGGTATGGATACCCCTTGATAACTTCCTACAGTCCCAAGTAATGTTTCCTAACTTGTTATTCATTATTACTCAGCCCCAATTTCCTTCTCTATGAAAGCATAATGCCACAGATGCACTATTTATCTATTGATGCACTGTATGTAGACATACATTTTGTATACGATCACAGTAAGATACTTTATCACATCTTTGGGACTATCAAAGCCCATTGAGAACATACAATCTATAGAACCGATCCCAAACTCCCTGGGATTTGAGAACCTTTCAAACATCTGAGAGGCTTGCTCCATCCTTCATAGCCCATGATAGCCCACACCAAATTCTCAGTGTTGCTTTGGTGCACTCTGCTCCTCTGCACATTTCCAGTGGTGTCCATGGCCCACCAGGTGAGCCCTGACTCTTTTGAAATGCTACTCTTCAAGTCATTTCCTCCCAGATCTTTTAGTGGAAACTCATCCCACTGTGAGCTACATTCTCACACTCTTTATATGATTTGTACATACATACTTTGGTAATATTTAAAGCCACTATCGTATATACATTGCTAGACTCAACTAGATATAGATTCCCAATCTGGGGATGGTATCTTTTTCTCATCTCCATCTCCAGAAGTTTTACTTTTCTTTTATATCCTTGCAATCCCTAGCCTGTCCATGTTTCCAGCATTCTGTTGGTACTGCTGAGCCTGGCTATATGCCAGGCCCTGCTCTGTTCTAGATGCAGGGCAGGGAGAGAAAAGAATGTGTAGTTGTGTGTGGACATGCACAATAATATTAACAAGAATCCTAGCAATGGAAGATTTTTGGTTATCAAAAGCTTTGTTTTATACAGGAGGACATCAAGTCTTGGAAAAGTCAGCTGAGAAAAGATATTAATTCAAGACATTGATGGCTCAACGTATTCTGGAAAGTTCCTGGCTCAGGACTACTTTTAAAATTTTTATTATGATTATTAATGTGTTCCCACATGTGCTAGGCAATACACCTGGGGTTCAGGGAAGAACTTGGCAGAATTGTTTCTCTTTCTCCACTTTTCTTGGGATCTGGCAATTCAACGTTCTAGGCTTTTAAGGGCCATGCCTTTACCTTCTGAGTCTCTAGGGTCAGGAGTTCTAGATTCAGTAACATTTGCATATTTGATAGTCGGCCACACACAGGCTGCTGAAGTGTCTCTTGGATACTGTCTGTTACCATCAAATCTTCAACAGTTTGAGAAAGGATATTAGTTAAAAGGTATTTTTCATTTGCACATCTGAGGTCCAGAGGAGGAACATGTATTGTAAATGCCTGGAAACAGGATTTATAGTCCTTTACAAGAAGCAGTAGTTACTTTTACTCTCATAAGTCTCCCCTACCTGACACAGGAGATCACAAAGCCAAGGATTCTGTGCTTTCAGAAGAATCCAAGTAGAGACAGAGGGGTCTCCCACACACTGAAAAGAATTTCTAAATTTCTACTCTAGAAGCCTCTATAACATATCAGCAACGAGCTGCCACTAAATAGCTGGGTGAGATTTTGTCTACCTATGTGCAGGGACCAAACTCCATATTCAGGGCTGCCAGAAGACCTTAGAACTACCCACCCAACTCTGGACAGTGGTCCAATGGCATGCGCTGATGGATGCTCAGGAAAGGGCTACAGCCTGGGGCTCTATTGAACACTTGAGCCTGTCTTGAAGATAATCTTTGGCTGCAGCTGGAAGCTGTACAATGGGATTCTGCATCAGTGCACAGAGAATATTGGAGCAAGTGTATAAGATACAAGCCATCTCTTCTCACAGAGATGGAAAGCCACTTTTTAAGGTAAAAAAAAAACCACGGGACTTAGCTATTTACCTACTCTACCAAATAATCTCTGTGACATTAAGCCCAAGTAATTGTAGTTTCAGTTTTCTTTACAGGGCAATAGTTTGATACAAGGAAATATGAAAGACAAGTACTAATTTTTGTATATTTTCTTTTTATCTCTTTTATTCATTGTGAAAGTATGCACATGTATCCATACATGTATATGTGTGTGTGTGCATATATGCATGCATGTGCACACATGAGTGTTTGTGTGTGTTAGAGTCATGTGGCAGAAACTGAGAAGACTAAAGGACTAAGCAACATAAATTTACCCAAGTCAGTTCCTTGATGGAAAGAATTCCGAGTTGCTTTTTTTCAAGACAGGGTTTCTCTGTGTAACAGTTCTTGCTGACCTGGAACTCGCTTTGTAGACCAGGCTGGTTTTGAACTCATAGAAATCTGCCTGCCTCTGCCTCCTGAGTGCTGGGATTAAAGGGGTGTGCCACCAATGCCCAGCTGTGAAAGAGTTTTTGTTGTTGTTTTGATAAATATCCAAGATGAAAGAAGCACCTTTGCTTAAGGAAGAGGGAAGGCCCTCTGCAGGAGGTCAAGGGACGTTCTCACTTGTTCTCTTTGCATTGTTGGAGGCATCGGGAGGTATGTCTCACTTCATAGAAACATGATCCAGTCTACTATTTATCCTCCAGGCCACACAACATCCATATTGTCTAACAACCAGCTAATTTGTGTGTGGTTAAAAGGGATGTTAATCTAGCTTAAGTTTTACTTGGCCTTTTAAAATTTCTCCACATTCTCTGAAAGGCATGTACTTTTTGATATAAGCTGAGCAAAGACTAACAGTAGCACAATTTGGACAGCAACTCCCTCCACATTGCACTCACACCTGACTATATTCTCAGGTGTGGATGTGGAGATTGAGAACACTTACGCTTTTCAAAGTTCAGACTTTTAAATTATGGATCCATGAGTTCAATTTCATCAGTTAAAAAAATCCCCAACAAAACATTCCCAGACTACGACTCCAATTGTGAAAGTGATTTTGATTCTATCTTTACTGCTGGCCGTACTAAGAACACTTGAAGGCTTCCAAACGAATAGCAGTCATATGTTTGGCTTCTAAAGAAGTTAACAGATTATAAAATGACTTTAGTGACATTTTCGCAGAAATTCATGACAAGTCTCAGACCCCGGGTAGGAACTTTTTAAAGAATCACTTTTAACGATGAGAAAACAAGTTCCTAGAAGTCAAACCCTTGCCTTCCCACTAGGGTGAGGCCCCAAATCTAAGGCGCTTTAGTAACCAATGGTGGTATCATTTCCCTTCTCTGTATGTTGGCAATAGTACCTTCCACATTTAAACCAAGCAAGGAAATGCTATTTCAGGACCATTGCTATTTTCAAAACATGAATATCACTCATTTGAGCCTTTTCCTCTTCACGGCTCTTTCCCAAAGCACTAGGGTCTTCATAATTACGACCAATAAATAAACAAATACCTCCTCATGAATGCATTATCTTTTTGAGGATAAGCTTTAGACCCCAGAGTTAAGAGTCAACAGACCCGTTACCTTTCTTCCCTTTCAAACCAAGAACTATGCAGTTTGGGCAAATAAAGCACAGTCCTCCTGTGACTTAACTATGGAAGGGGCCAGAGGGAACTGTGTCAGTCAGGGTTGTCTAGAGATTGATATTAGCAGGGATTGCTTTAGACACCTGCTCTAGAAAAGGACCTCGTACTGAGGAAAGGCTCTTGAGTTTCCCAAAATGCTAGCACACACCCCTGTTTTGTTCCAGGTTGCTACATCTCAAAGCTGTAAAGCGCTGCAGATAATAAGTAAATAGTTCCTTAAAGAAGGGGAGGAAAGGAGCCCAGACAACTAGAATCTAACAGAGCAAAGGCAGGGCTAGGCTTTACCAGAGCTTTTCAAACCACATCACAAAGCCTCCATACAGGGTGTCATTTTGCAGGATATTTGGGACTGATCCTTGGCAGTCAACAGGCACAGCCTTCTCCCCTGATAGCAGAGGAGGTACTGGGTTTGCCAGACACACTCAAAACTGCGATTGCCCAGCAGCTTACAACACACAGGATCCCCCAGATTTGTCCAGCGGGGTATGTAACCAATAATATTGTATATTGTGGTCAGTGCCCTCTCCTGGGAACCTTATAAGTAAGATAAACAGATAGTATAAATACACACCCATGGTTACATCTCTCAGTCCTTCTGTATCTTTTGTGACACAAAGGTCCCAAATTATAAAACACACTTCTAATCTCTTGTCTCTGTCCCATTCAGGCAGGGAAGCCATGAGTACCATATTAAGAAATAAAATAATGCCAGTTCTCAGTTTATACTAACAATGATAGTCATGTGACAGACTGCAGCCATTTGTACCCCAATTCTGATGTATTAAAAGAGGTTTCCTTACTTGACTGGTTCCCATGATTCCCGCTCAAAGCCCCTGTGAATGGATTGTGCAATTGAGGACTCCATCAGATCCACATATCTAACAACAAGTGGGGCAAACAGGTCCTGCAGGTGCTTGTGAAATTTCCCATTGCACAAATTATGTAGAACAGATAAGCAAAATCATGGTCAGAACCACAGTAACTTTATGGAAGTATAGTGTACACACAGAGAGTATTTTCTTCTACATCAAACACCCTGCTTCTAAGGAAACTGGAAGAAAAAACAAACAGAAACAGCCTCGAAGCTCATGCTTGAGTCTGTGTGGAAGGGAAAAGTGAATAAAATCCATGTTACCTATCCATGCACTCCCATGAGAAATAACAAGCCACGGCATTTGTAAATGCTTTATTTTACTGTCTTCTACATACTTGGTACCAGGAAGAAAAAAAAAAACATTCCCTGCCACCTCCCCTTCTTCATCAACCTCCTGGAAGAAGGATTGCTTTATGGCTATCATTGCTACAAGACACTGAAGTGCTTGCAGTGTTTGCCGGCTAGAGATATCTTTTATCTAGGAAGTATCACCGGATAAAAACTGAAAAGCATAAAGAGGTTAAGCTAACTAATTTTCTGGAGAGTAAATAAAACACAAGGAATGGATATGTCTTCTCACATGCTCTTGGCTTCTTCTGATAAAGACAGGCAAGAGAACTGCTATCCACAGTTAAGTGGTGGTGGTATGTGTGTGTGTAGTGTGTATGCATGCGGTATGTGGTATGTATGTGTGTCTGGTGTATATGTGTGTGTGGAGTGTATGTTTGGTGTGCATATATATGTGGTGTGTGTGTGTGTGGTGTATATGTATGTATGTACATGTGTGGTTTTGTATAGTGTGTGTATATGTGTATAAGGAGTGTGTGTGTGTGTGTGTGTGTGTGTGTGTGTGTGTGTGCATGTGTGTGGTGTGTATATGTATGTGTGCATACTGTTTGTGTGAAGTGTGTGTATATGTACATATGGAGTGTGTGTGTGTTTGGTATGTGTTGTGTATGTGTATCATTTGTGAGGTGTGTATGTGTATAAGTGTGTGGTATGTATATGTGTGTGTGTGTATGTTTGGTATGTGTGTGTCATGTATGTGTGTAGTGTGTGTATATGCATGTATGTGTGTGGTTTGTGCTTAGTGGTTCATATATGTACATATGGAGTGTGTGTGGTGTGTGTGGTGTGTATGTGTATAGTGTGTGTGGTGTGTATATGAATGTGTGTGTGGTATGTGGTGTGTATGTGTATGGTTTGTGGGGTATGTATCTGTGTGTGGTATGTACGTGTGTAGTATGTATATATGTGTGGTGTATATGTTTGGTATATGTGTATGTATGTGGTATATGTGTATAAGTGTGTGGTGTGTATATGTGTGTGTGTGGTGTGTGTGGAGTAAATGTATATGTGTGTATGGAATGTGTGTGTGTTGTATATATGTATAGGGTGTGTATATGGTACATGTGTGTTGTGTTTAATGGTGCATATGTGTGTGGTGTATGGAGTGTGTGTATGTGTGGTGTGTGTATATAACAATAAAACAAGGAGGAGCTTTGTCTAACTCACAGTCTATGTGGAATAACTACATCTTAGTAACAAGTTTATGTTGATACTAATCAGGAAAAACCAATAGTCCAGGATGATACATACAGTCTGTACGGAGAAAGTCATTCAGCAGCTGGAACAGTGGGAAACTGTCCCATGTGTCTGGGGGTTGCACCTCTAACGCTGCATCCATGTCCACTGCAAAGAGTGACAGGAACGTCTCCGCGTGCTCCACCATTAAATCTGACCACCATGCAAAGGCCTTTGAAATGTGGCAGAAAAACAACAGAAAGGTGATGAGTATCTCTATGGGATGAAAGATATTTGCTCCAACCCTTACTGCTCAAGACTGGCTGTGCACCCAGCAGGGTGTGGTCATTTTATTGTAAAGAGAACAGCAGTTTGGATATGCGTGGGCCTCTCAGTGTCCAAGGCACTACTCTGTAGAAAGCCTTGCTCCTGACCAGGAGGTCAGAGGACACCACTGCAGGGGTGTCAGATATGGAACTTCTGCTCAATTTACAATAACTCAGTAGGCTTGGGTCATGCTCTGTCATCACTGCTGGCTGGTTCTTGCTCTAAGGTGTAGAATTTGGGAGTTTCTTCACTGTGTTTATGGGTTTTCTGCTGGTCTAACTTGAAAATTTGCAAATACTGTTCATTCACATTTCCATATCTGGGAATTAGTTGTCTATGGTCTCATCCAAACACAGGGACTCCTGTTTCCCTACACAGTGCAAACATTACCCTTATATCAGACTAAGTCAAAGCAAACCATGATTAGAATTACTACACAACTGCTGAGTAAAATGTCTATCTCAGGAGGGAGCCTTTGTTTTTTTACTTCTGGTCTAGAGGAAATATCAGGCTTAATCTAGAGAACATGGAATAAGGTTAGGACTTACTTTCCTGGGGCATAGACACATATGTACATTGAAAACCAAAAAATATCAGTGAAGTAACTCATTTTCATGCACATGGGTCCTTGGAAATCATTGTGCAAGGTCTCAGGGGTGACATTCACATCAGCCTGAGCCAGATGTGAATGCAGTTCAAAGGCATACATGCATGTAGGCTAATCATGTCTGGCAGGGGGCATGCAGAATGAGTGGTGGTGTCAACAGGCCCTGTTTTGCTGATTTCAAAGAGAGCGGAAAACAAACATTGCCAGCCTCTTCTTGTCCCCACCGCCCCACTCAGTGCCGTAAAGTATCCACACTGGAAACACTTTCCGGAGCATTCACCAAAAAAGATGGGAAGGCATTTGGAAATATGGAACATGATTATGGAAATAGTTCTATACATGAAAGGATTTGGTCAATGGCCAAGCTCTTCTGTGATCTAGTCCTTATTGGAGGGGTATTCTAACAGCCACTAGGAGGCAGAACAGAGGGGCTACTTCTCCTCTTTCATTAGATTTCACTTTACTTACTTCTCCTTTATCAACATGTGGCTGGTTTGCAAATTAAATGGAAAAAATCAAGTCATGTACGGTTCTTTGAGGATGGTTTGGCTGGAACTAGAACCCCACTTATTCAGAGCATGCGAGGGGATGCCAAAGGCTCACACTGTTGGACTTTCTAGCAAGTGATATTTTATTTCTTTTGAACACAGCCTGTAACTGGGTACTAAAGTAAATGGCATTCATGGATTGCCCAATGTTTAGCAAGGAATGTATCAGAATGCTTAAATTTCCCCCAATTTCTAAGTATGATAAATTGGCCTGTTAGTTAAAAAGATGGGAAACTTAACTTTGTAGATACAAGGATGGACAAAAGAATTATATACCCCCAGCTTACAAGAAAAGACTTCACAATTTCCATTGAGTGTTGATATTATGCTAAATATTTTATTTAAGAAAAATGAAAATAGCCATAGGTGCAACTGAATCATACCAGATTCTAAATATTCGGGCCTGAATGAATGAGGCTTTCTTGTGCTTTACCACCCATAGATGAGTGCCCTGGGCCTGAGTCCAGCAGAGGAAGAAATCCTTCCTCCCCCAGTCAGAGCCTTTCCAGCATGCTGCCATTTAGGCAAACTGTGTGAATGCTGGGACTTGCTGGGTTCCTGTCCACAGCCTGACCCTATACAGGGCTGAATCTCCCCTCCACATCCAGGATATCTGCAAAGCTCACAAAGGCACAGCAAATGCAGCTGGCACTCATTAATTACTTGGTTGGTCAATGTTACACCTTCAGGGTATGGCCAAGAAGATAGTATGGGAAAGAATGTATTATGTTCCCATATACAACTTTGTTTCTAGGATGGCAGGGAACACACAGAGAACACCAAATCAAACTAAAGCCCCATCAAATGCATGAAATTAAAAAAAAATCTTAACCCAGCTTCAGATGTGGTCCTTAGGTTTATAATTTTAAAAACTTGTAAACAAGAGACCATGAGGTACATAGTATCTCTCCTCTATAGAGAACAGAGTCCTATATAATTTGTTACTGAGCAACTCTTAGTCTTTGCACTAATAGTCACATAGGCTGGATACATTGGGCGCAGTGGTATTGCTATGTAAGCTGGCACAGTGAATGACGAGATTTTAAATTAGGGAGGTGGGGAAGAAAGGAGAATCAAGGTATTTCGTTGTAGCACCTTGTAATCAAAGTTGACTCCTAAGAAGTGGGCAAGAGTCTAACTAGCATAGTAATAACTAAACAGCTAAGGGATAATTCTAACCAAATGAGTAGTATGCATGACTGGGCTGAGAAAAGCTCAACTTTATTTTAGGTTTGCTCTTACAGGTGAAAAACCACATTTGCACACAAAGTCATGTATGTTGACTGGCACCTAAAGTCTCAGTAAACCTTTTCCATAGACAATATGGAGTTACTCATTGGATTGTAAATACTTACCCGGTGCTTTTTATTACTCAAAGACAAAAACTGTGTGCCTCAGGGAGTACATTCACTACATTGAACACACTATATATTCTGCACACAAACTGACATGTATATATGTACCCCTCTATGCACCACAATACATATATACATATACATACGTATACATAGAGAGAGATTAGGAAGGGGGAGTACATGAATATATAATTTGTGTGCCTGTGAGTAGGCCAGGTTCTGAGAAAAATATTCTGCTGCATATGAGAGCAAAATGTGACAACAGCTTCCACATACAGCATGTGTGAATAGTAAAGAAAGGATGTACTCTTGGCTGATGGGAGTTTTTTTCCCTCTTGGGACATTTACTATATTTTATTGGAACTTAAAGCAGCTTTAAAGAAGATTAGTTGGGTTTGTGCAGTGGGGGGCAGCCCTATTGTCACTTGTATTTGTGAGGTATCCACAAACAGTGTGGTCACGACAGTTAGAGCTACATTTATGATTTAGTGGTTTATTATTATTTTTTCAAGCTTAGTGAGCACCCAGAGAGGGAGTTCTGGGCAAACAAATCTTCATCCATTCAGGGAGAAACTGTTTACAATGTGTTCTATATCAAGTCAACCTTTTCCATTACAGGCTAACCACTTGGCTATAGACAGGGATTCCCTGGGCAACTTTTGTAAGAGAACAATGCTCTAGAACTACCTAGAAATTCCAGTCAGTGGGGCTGGCACAAGACACAAGAATTCAAATTTCTTCTAGCTGCTTCAGGTATTATTGCTTGTAGATTGAGAACAGGTGGGGTACCTTCCAAGACCAGCCCACTCCTCCTGCCTAGGAAGGGACCCCCACTCCTTTCAACACAGCCCTTCAGTTCTCAGGCATTAGGTACCTCTCACCTAGGGTTCAACGTTTTCTTTTTTTAAATTGGCAGATATTTTGATTTCTTGGGAGTCCTTTTCTTAATCTAAGAACAGTTAAAGTTCTGTAGAATGCTTATTATGTTCTGGGCACAATATCTGATGGTTTGCTTAATGTCACCCTTCCATCTAGTGCAGCCACCCCATTGCGTTAAGCAACTAGACCACATTCACACGATGAACAGCTGTAGCTAGAACTCAAGCCCAAGCTTCTGTGGCTAGATTCTAAGGTCTGGCTGTTGTGCACTCTAGCCTTCATGGCCCAGGGTATTTTATTTCTCATTGTCCTTCAAGGAACAATAAACTTCTTGGCTCAGGGGTCAGCAGGTAGAAGTGGCCCAATGGTAGTCTGATTAAGTAGTAAAATTACTGGTTTGGGATATAATCCTGTACATTTACTAAAATAATTTTGGTCTTCAGAACTCTAAAATAGGCTGTGGGTTTTACTACTAACTTCAAAACACTGTTGAGAGCAAGATTCAGGTTACCATATTTATTTCCCCTGCATGACTTCCAAATCTGCAAGTGGAAAATACTTTTATGACAGTGATTATTAGGATGATTGGCACAAAAAAGGCAACCTTTTTTGGAAAGGTGCAAAGAAATACCGTCTTTGGAGTTTGGGTTTAAAAACTGGTTTTGTTTTACAGTGCTGGGATATTAAGTTTTTTTTGGTGCCTCTTTGGTGTGGCCGAAGAACATACGCATTCTTTGTGATCTGGGAGTAGCCTTAGAAGGTAGCTTGATCACCAATCAAGTATGTCTGTCATTTTCTTCTTCTGTCATTCACTTAAACCCACAGCGGCGACTGGGAGCAAACATCGTCTTCATATCCATGGCTTCACCAATATGTGGACTTGGTCAAGCCTTTACCATTCAAAGCCAGGAAAGGCAGGCCAGAGTCTTTCAAGTCCCTGGAGATGATTTTGAAGATACTTATCATCACTTGAACCCCCCAACCCCCAATCTAAAAAAAAATCAAACAAAATAAGAGTGGAAGAAAAAAAAATCCAACCCAACTTCATTGCATGTGTCTGGAAGTTACTCTTAGGTTTGTGTGATTGGGTGTACTATTTGGCACCCCTTTTGTCCTCCTGGGTGTGTCCGTTGCTAAGTGCTATATGGGTTAGTGACACCCACTCACAGGGTCTTCCCGTTGTACCAAGGGTCTGCAGGGAATTCAGGATTCTTCGAGACACTCTCTCTATATATAAATACTGTATATATGACTCACATACAAACAGCTGTAGAGGAAGGTTAGTATCGCTCCAAGGACCTACTGCTTACTAAGCTTGGAACTCTTCTTCTGTGATAAAGGTAAATACAGACGGACATAGGAAACTATGACAGGCCAGGGACAGAATCAAGGCAGGTGGGAGGTGTGTGTCAGGATGTAACCGCAGTCCTCATAAGTATATCAATTGCTTCATGCACGCACAAGGGATTCACCCCACATTTACCCTGCTGTGGAGGGCCACCCATGTCACAAGCAGTCCACTAGAAGTTGCTGTTACATTCCTTGGGTCAGTGTTAGAAAGCAGGAGCACCAGGAAAATCCCATTAGAAGACATGGTACTAGAAGGGCATGCACAGAGTATGACAGCAGGTGGCCGCTTCATTCAGCTGAATCACATACCTCTTTCCCCTGCCACGATCAGCCAAGATTGACCGGAACAGTAGAGAAACAGGGAGGAAATTTCAATATGCAATCAGCATTAGTTGGGATGGTGGGGTTTACAGTGTATGACATATCATTTAACGATCTGTCAGTTTTTTTTCTTAGTCATGGGAAGGGTCGTTTTGGGTACCTGAGAAAACACTTTTACGACTGTCCTTTCCTCCCCTCTCTGTAAATACGAATATAGAGGTGGAGGGAGAATTAGTGACATTTTAAAACCAGGTTATGTTAAGAGAGATGACTTTAAAGTACAAGTTTGGAACAGTTTCAGAGTTTAATCCTCAAGGTCCTCCCTGGAAGTGCTGGGGTGTTTACGTCCGTATAGGTTTGGCATGTAGTTGGTCTTGAAGTCCTTCCATTTATGATAACCTCAAAATTGTTTTAATAGTGGTTTCTAAAAACACAATGAAGAAAGCTGTATTTATCTGGGTTTGCATCACAGAAATGACAAGTGGAACAACATAGACTTATTGTGTCTGTCACTGTGCTCAGCAACCCAGGCAATCTAAGGTTAAAAAAGGAAAAGTACTGTACAGGGAGAGTAAGATACAGATAAAAACTCAAAGGAAAAAAAATGACCTGTGGTTCGCACACCAAAGAATGAATCAAAACAACAGTGCTGGCAACGAAAACAACCACGAAAGACCAAAAAGTATTCTGTGTGTCTGGATAATGTATTTGCATGCCGGATGCCACTGGACCCTTGTGTTACACTCACCTCAGTCCTGTGTTCAGAGAAACATCTGAAAACTTAGGCTGAAATGCACAACATACAACCACCTCTCCGTTATTTAGACAACCTTCGAAATATGCCTCCTTCCAAAACTTCTACCATTACTCCTTTCAGAAGCCCAGTTAAAAGCAAAGGGGAGTTAGAGGGATCTCATTCACAACCAGGTGGGACGAGTCAGTGCTGGAACCTCAGCTTAGGGGCACTGTGACATCTCCCACTAAGCCTGCTCACCTCTGCGTGATGCTCCTCGTTTTGTTGAAGTACTTCAATGACTAGTTCAGCAAGACGGATTGTGTCTTCAAGCTTTTTGGCAGGAGTGATTAAGCGGCCTACATTTTCTGGAGTATAAGAATTTGTGGTAAGATTCAACGAAAGCAGCAGGCTAGTTTTGTGGCCGATAGAACTAGTGGGTGAGAAATTCTGAATGGTTATCAATTTTTTAAAAAAGTTTCATGCAAATGTTAAATGAGCAAACCATAAAGCCACCTTATTGTCACTGTCATAATGATACACTTAGGAAAACAGTGCTCCAGCTTCCGAGTTGCAGATGAAGATAAAATGAGGTCTAGGACAGCCCATGTCAATTTGGTGACATTTGTACAGACATTCTTTAAAGACAGCATACATGAAGTACCTGATATTACCCTCTACACTACTCTGCCCACCATTGAGGGACGGTGGAGCCCAGGCTTCGTGTTGATTGGTGCTGTGTTTGTTCTCTGTGGGCCACTAACAGTTCAACAGGACAGCACTGATTTTCATTGCAGATCAGCATGTTGACTGGGTACTACAATGTTCACTTGGAAATGAACAGTCAAAGGCCTCCATGTCTCAAGTCACCAGGGGAAAGATGAAAAGCAAAACTAACAGTTTCTGGGTGTGTATGTAGAAGGTAGGACAGAATTACTAAAAGGGCATTGGGGAATAAGTTATTGCAGTAGGTGCTAGTGCTGTGTGTCCGTGGCTGCTCTAACCAATATTTTAACAGGAAAGTTGCAACAATGTACTGACTTTGCTTTGTTTTGCATTTATTGTGAGTTCACAGAATTGTTTTCAACAAGCTCAAAAAGGAACAGAATTCTTGCCTTAGCTGCACACTGCTCAGAGCTGAGCTCATGCTGTGTACAGTCTCTTCTCTTAGCAGAACCTGCTTAGTTTGGATGTCAGAATATGTCTTGCGAAAGATAACATCTTTGCATACTTTTCCCCCTTTTTGTGGTGCTGAGGGTTGAACCCAGGGCCTTACACATGTTAGGCAATTTTCCTGCTATTGAACTACGTCCCTAGTGCTAAATAGAATTTCTTGATACTTCATGCAAACTTGTTTTGGAGTGGGTGTATTTAAATGCAAGGACAGGAAGTGGCTAATTAAACAAGATAGGCATTTCTTAGGTGACACTCATCATTAGTATTTAGAATTGAATAATGGCAAACAAACTCAGTACAACACTATGCAAAAAGAAATGTTTTATTCATTGGGAGTTAGGACAACAAATGGGACAAAGTAAGATTATCAGATTTTAAAGTTTCAGTTTAGCTGGTTAACTGTGGGTGTGGAGATGGGCTTTCTGTATGTGATCTTTATATCTACCATTGCCAGGTGGAAAGGTGGCTGGAACTAGTTGGAGCTTGGAGGAGGGAGTTTGGGGGAAAGTTAGTTTGTAGGCTAGGTAAAGGACAGCCAACACCCAGTCAACAAATGTGGGATGTTAGGCTGATAGCTTATGGCCTGGTCTAGGGCAAAATACTTGGAGAAAAAATGAGAGGCAAGATTGACTTATGTGTTTGGGGACACCTGACTTTTGTAATTTTTATTAGTAGACTATCAGAATTTCATTAATAGACTTTCAGGCATTTCTACAAACATACTGCGTATATATGTTTGGGTAATACGAGTAGAGTGAGACATTTGCATTTTGATAGTAAATATGTACTTTTCATTAGTTGATATTCACATTTACACATCAATTTGCAAATTCCTCATCCTATGCTTATTACCCATTCAACACATACATCCACATACATACATCACATATGTACATACATGTTCTGATAACCAGACAAGCCTGCACACTATACAGATCTGCAGGAGATCCCACTTGGACCACATCTTTGAAATCTCTCACTTTTGAAACAGAGAGCATTATCCTTTTGGATGGAACACTCACCAAATCTAGGGGAATTCGGGCTGAACATGACATCTGAGACAGAAATAAAATGATCCCCACCAGTATTTTTATTTGCATTTACCTAAAAAGTCCAAATGCTTTTTTACATTTTGAGAAATCCAAGATGCTTAAGTGAGGACTGCCTGAAGATTTGTTTTTATTCTTTTAATGCAAGACTTCTAGATTGACTACATTAAACGGCAATAGATACACATAATGTGTACGTGTGCATGCAGCCATTCTTTGAGTGTGTGCACATGTACACAGGTATGTGTATGCCCGATGTATATTATATATACAGACAGTATGTTTAATAAAACCTTGTACAATTGGACTTGAACATGCATCCACTGAAGTGGGTGGGTTAGGAGCCTTTAATCTAGAATACTTGACTACCAATTAACCCATGTAGCCCGACTTCCATTTATTGTTAATTAGTCATGACTCCATTATCTGTAGCTTAAACCACTTTAGCAAGACACAGCTACTGTTTCCCTCTTCATTTGAACAGCTGATTTGTTAACTAAATGGCAAAAGGTATACTAGACATGAATGTTGTCTTTAAAGAAAATACTGTGTAAAAGCCTTCAGCAACCTTGTCCCCAGAGGCCAAGAAGATGTTTGTGTTTAGAAATGAGTCTTGTTCTTGGTCATTTCTACTATTGTGAAATATGCTGTGACATTTCTACCCAAACCAATTTTTGCAGTAGCTGGAGCACTGATGAAAAGAACTGAAAATACAATATACTTAGGAAACATTTCATACAACGGAATTGAAGCTCATAACAGAGGAAAAACCATCATGCAAAATGTTATGCAACAACAATGTTATTTTGTGCTGACATTGAGATTTGAAAATGTTGCATATGTCAGACATAGCTAGACAAAAAAATGTGGACATTTGAGAATAAATGCTCTCTTCCAAGTATATCAAAACCTACAACATCACACTTGAGAGCCTGAGCCTCAGCTTAGTATTCCAAACTGAAACAGAATTTCAAGAGTGAACAGAAAAGCCAACTAAACTAGAAAGCTGCCGAGTGACAGAACAATAGAAGTTTACAGTACTTGATATTGGCCTAGGCATGGCTTTGAGCCTCTGATATAACAGGCTGGTCTGCAAATGCATGAGTAAAGGATGAGGCTCAGGAGCTGGCTGGGGAGCTGTTCAGGTAGGTGGAGAGAGACCAAAAAAAAAAAAAAAAAAAAAAGCAAAGAGACAAAGTGACTTTCACAAAGAGTGACAAGTAAGACAACAAACTCTGAAAAGAACAAATCAAGCAGCAAACGCGACAAACAGCAACGGGGAGATGCTTGCTTCCTCGGCATCACCTCAGTGTCCAGGAGGTGTGACAGGAGTTGACAAGGACTCTTTCTAGCATCTCAGCACCACCCCTACCCAGACACTCAGAGGCTGAATGCAAACACCGAATGCTCCAGAGAGATGGAAAACATGAATGATAGTTGCTGCATCATTGCCGAGAAGAAGATGTACTCTTTTGTATCATGAACAAGAGTCAAGTCATTAACTGAGTCTCCTCTTCACATGACCAGAGACAGAATGTGGTACACGAATGGTTGGCAGTGTGCATTCTCATGCTTTATAAGCTACTTACTTTTTAACTAATTTTGTACCCTCTGTGATTTTGTTTCTTCTCGTATAAATGGCATAGAGTTAAGAATTTCCCCTGTGTATCTGACAGGGTTGCCGACAAGAACAAATCGAACAAGGTATGGGATAGATCTCCCTCAATTCTAAAGTGCCTACAAATGGTCACTGTTAACCTTCACATTGTGAGAAAGCTGAAGTTAATTGCTTTGCAAAAGCAGATAAAAGGCCGTTATTAGTTCAAGCGAGCTAGGGAATATTCGTGCTCCCTTTGTGGAATTTCAACATGTCAAAATCTGTCATTTGGGGGGAAATGTGTGGTATCTGATTGTTTCCAGCTCATTTAATTATTTTCAATTTGGAATTCTCATGGCTTTTATATTGTGGGTTGAATCATATATAAAAACTTGCCAGCTTATCGAATATGTTACTCGCTATTCCAAATGTTAGAATACCGTAATCAGCACTTGACCCATCTGTCATGTGGTTTACCATATCAGCTCTGCAAACATCCTGCGACAATAGTCTCTTCTTCCACACAAGCACACTGTACCAGCAGCACCCACAATTCTCTCTCTTTAATGTGTGTCTTCTTAATCTCGGACCACCTTCTTTCTAATAGTTCTGGTTTAAAAACTTATTTGTGTGACGAGAGAGACACACTCCTTTGCCAAGTTTCCTTCTGGGTTTGCTTGAGTTTTCAACTGGGGTAATGCATTTATCAAGGTATAGAGGAAATGGGATTTTAGTGAAATTAATAGAGAAAGGTAGAAGACTATGAATAAATACCCTAGTCTGGCAAAGCTATCTTCTGAAGTCAAGACTTGTGGGTCCTGAGATTGCTGGAGCACCTCAGTGTTTTGAACACAGGACTAAACATAGTCTTTATCAGTTTCTCTTGATTTGAATTCTTTGGGAAAGATAGTGTGTCCACACAATTTGTAGACGTCATTTTTAAAATGATAGCTATTTAAAGAGAGGCTGATCCTTTCATTATTTTAAAGGAGCATTTTGCTAATGTAGGGGACATCTCTATCACATCCACATGTAATAAATGTTTGCTACTTCACTGTGTAAATCTCATGGGAACTCCTTGCTCCTTTGCACCTAAGTAATTGAGTTTGTGCATCAAAATACTGCGTCTGGTGCTCAGCACAACGTGGAACAGTCTACTTGATCAATAACCTGTGAGGCATCAGACACATGTTTCAGATCAATGAGTCCTGGGGAGGAATTCATAAATGGATCCCCTCCTGCCAACTGTCTGTCCTGAATTCTTACAGTAAGGTTTGCCACCATAGGAAAACAAGCTTCCTATTTTTCCCCTCACAGAGCAAAACAAAAATATCATACCTTGGTTTCCAACTTCATTTACCCAATTACCATTGCTCATGTTTACACAATTAATTCCACTTGGCTTCCAGAAAGAGAGTTAAATGTGATGCAGAAAAACAAAAAAGAGAATTCCTCTGCATGTGTAGCTAAGCCAAGGAAGAGAAGCATCCAGGAGTGAGAGACACTCCAATTAGCCCTTAAATAACCTGACCATCTCTGGTTCCAG